AACAGTCCCCCCCCCATCAACTTTTTTAAAAAAATACGCCTTCCTGCCTTCTGCAGGAAGCAGAAGCCTCCTCCTTAAAAAGACCCCAGCTCATGACTCAGGTAGGCATTTTCCCTGCCTGGAAGGGAATCTGTCCCATGTGTTCCTTTGCTAATAAACTCTGCTTTCTCCTGATCAACCCTATTCATCATATGGCTACTTTTTATCTATCAGATGGCAGTACCATGGGGGCTTTGGGCTTGCTGCTTAGAAAGGGTCCAGCTGGGAAAGATGGAAAAACTTGGCAGTAGTCTACAATCTTAAGAAATAATTGAATGGAATGGGTCTATTCTTCTGACTGATGGAATAGCAAAGAACCCACTCTTTCTATCAAACAGTGCCATCCTCACAGTCCTGACTATCCCTGATTCCCTATTAGACTGGCGGGAGCCGTCTGTGGGTTTGTGGACAGGGTAGTATGGAGGAGTTTGTGGTAAGGCCCTATAAGGAGATGCTTGGCTTCAATAATTGGGTGCTCTCTCTAGAATGTAGAGTTCTTAAGTCCTTTAGTGATAACCCAGAGAAGAGTTTTAGGATGCAAGATATGATGTCTGTTACAAATTCATGATAACGTTTACCCATGTATGCATAATGTATATGCAAGTATATATTCCAGACTTCCAAAAAGAGACTTCTGCAGCCCTCTTCTTAGGTGAAAGTCCTTAAAAAAATCAACCTCTACTCTCCCATAACAAATAGGAAGAAATACAACAGATTTGGGTTTTTCTCATGACTATTTTTATTTTTTCAAATGTCAAGTTTCAAGGTGTTAAACAAACATGGATGGCCTTATTTTCCTGGTGTCCCAATATGTGTTTATTCTGTTGCGAACTAGCCCTACTCCAGTTCCACTGAGAAAAATTAAAGGAATTTCTGAAAGCACTTTTTGTGACCTATGAACACATACATGCTAACACCATAGACATGAATATACATAATGTTTTCTATATGTGATTAAAATATCTACAAACTTTATTTCAGCTTGGTATATGAAACAGATGTCTGGAATAAACTTTAAATTAAAAATTTATTTATTTATTTAAAGTATTTTATTTATTTTTATTTTATGTGTATGGCCTGCACGTATATTGAGTGCACCTGTGTCATGCAATGCCATGGAGGTGAGAAGAGGGTGTCGAATTCCCCTGGAACTGGACTTAAGGAAGGTTCTTAGCTGCCATGTGGGTACTAGAAATCGAACCTGGGTCCTCTGCAAAAGCAGAGAGTGTTCTTAACTGCTGAGCTATCTCTCTAGCCCCTTATTTTCCTTTTTTGTGTATGAGTGTTTTGCCTGCTTGTAAGTGCACCCATGTCATGTACTACCCACAGAGGACAGAAGAGGGTGTCAGATCCCTCTAGATCTGGAGTTACAGATGGTTGTTAGTCACCACATGGGTCTTCTGCAAGAGCAGCCAGTGCTCTTAACCACTGAGCCATCTCTCCAACCCCATAAACTTTTAATTTTATTTGAATAAATAAAAAAAATCAATGAAGACAATGGTAGCTTATGTCAAACTGACTAGATTATAAGCCTGGCTCTAAGTTTAAGCTTATTTTCTCAGTCTTAGTTCTTTATATATGAAATATGGATAATAACAGTATGTATCTCATGGAAT